TGTAAGAATTCCTTAATTATGCGATCATTGGTATTCTCTCTCTCTCTCTCTCTCTCTCTCTCAGATAATTTTATTAGAAAATTAGTAATTTACAGTAAATTACATAAAAATATAAAATTATTATTTTTCTATTCAAAGTTAAACTGCTTATAAGTTTTCTTGTAATTAAATGAGTGAAAATAACGAAACCTTGCCTTTAATAGATTTAATTTAATAAAGTTATTACAAAACTAAATTAACATGGTATTGATTGAACATACCCAAATATACAATAGGATCTGGATCTATAGATATGTCATTGACTTTAAGGATAGCGTCGGGTGGACCACAATCTCTCCATTCAAGCTTACAATTCATTACATTTAGTATAGAAAACAGTAAAATGACAACCAATTTCATTTTAATTTGGTGTATAAATTGTTGTAAATATTTGTATTTAAATATTATAATTTTAAATAACTGTAATTTCTTGATTTAATAATTTGATTTTTATAGATTATATTTTGCCAATCATAATGGGAATTCACACATATGTACATACTTAATGAAATATGTTAAAAGAATAATCGATGTTATTATTGTATAATTTTAATATAGTAGTTGACCTCGAACAAAGTTTTATAACTTTAAAATCATTCTTTTTAATAATAAAATGATATTAAATTTATAATTCATATAAAAAATCAACTAATGGATTATTTTAAGATAAAACAAATAAAGATCTATCTTATTTAAAATACAAAATATAATATTTTATTAATAAAAATAAGTTTTGTTTTAGTTAAAAAATTATTTCACAATGTATAATTTAGTGAAACAAAACATATGTTTGTTTATAATTTACTGATATAATTTTGCTTATTCAATAATTTTGTCATATTGTTATTGAAATTAATTTTAAATTTTATTAACCTATAATTTTAATGTTAATAAACATATGTAAAATTCTATTTGGTGATACTGTATGCAGTAATAGCAGGATATAAAAATAATTTTAATTATGTTATGATATATTATCAATATAAGTTTATAATTTAAAAGATGATAAACATATTATTAAAAACAATATTTTTTGTAATATAAAATAAAAACCAGGTGGATAGAAACTTAATTTTTATTTAAAGGGATACATTAATTAAGTTTATAATTTCACTTCAAATTTGCCGTAAAGACAGCCATAGACTTGTCCGGTCTTCGAGTTTATATAAGTACCGTTCGCTTCAAATTCACCCTAAAGTCACGTAATATAGAAATGATTATTGATATAGGGAAAGTAGTAATTTGTGGTATTTATCTTACCTCCAGGACCTTCTTGAACACATCCCCCACATCAGGCAAACTCCTGTCCTTCAGATCAAACGAGTACTTATTGGCAGTGAGGGGACACTTGACGGGCGCGAAGATTGTGTACAAGTCTTTGGTCTCTTTCTTCGCGTACTCGCAGTAATCATATTTACTAAACATTTCACTCAATTTAGTTTTCATGGATAAGTTTGTCATCATAATAGTGCAATCATATCTCACCATGATCCAAAATCTTTGATACAGGGGATGGCCATTGTATAGGGGGTCAACTTATTAGCTGTTATGACAAAAGTAAAGTCTTCAACCGGTATGTCCTTCACAACAGTCACATCGATCTGAACACTCTCTGACCCTTTAATTTAATAAAAGTTTTATTAGTTTTAATTACAATATTCATAACATTAGTTTACCAGGGTACTTGATTGGGAATGGAGAAACGGCCACAGATGTGAATCTGATGGAGGCATCACTGGCACCACAATCTTTCCAAACAAATTCCGAGCATTTCATTAGATTCACGAAAGAAAACAATAAAAAAATTATATTTTTCATTTTGAATGACAAATTTTGTGTTAACAAAATAAGTTTCCTATTTGTTAATTAAATGCTTGTTAATAATATAGTGTACATTATGGAAAAGTATTTATACTGTACTATGTTACAATGTTAATCATAGTGTGAATTAAGACATATGAGGGGTTTGTTACAATGTTCAATAGGTTAGAAACAACTTTCATTCTGCATTATTAGTTGCAATTGCTGCAAAACTGCAAAACTGCACAAAGTGCAGTCGATCACCAGAATCTGATTGATAAAAATGTATGCTTATCCATATTACTTTAAAACAGTGTTTTCAATTTTAAAAGTATTTACCATAATTGATTATGGGTTTAGGTTTACATAAAGTTTCGCAAAGTTAGGTCAGACAACACTTATTGAATTTCATTGTTTTCTCACTTATTCCTAAGCCGTGAGACCTTTAATGAAAAACCTTTTCTACCTTTTTAATGATCGTATTTATCGTTCATAATAATCTAAGCACACTTCACATTTCTTAATCCTTGTGAGAAAATAAATTATTTGTTTCTAGTACATATTTAGTTAATGATTTATTTGAAAAAATTATTAAAATTAAATTTTTTTATTTTTTTTATTTTCACAATTTTTATTGTATAATAATTTAATTTCTAAATATAGAAATATAAATATAAATCATCTTTTCGATGTAGGAATTCATGTATAAGTAATTTGTTATACAATTTATTCAACAGTTTGAATGACATTTGACTTTATTTGGTGTAATAATCTCGTGCTGTGATAACATTTGCGTTAAATATCACATCAAAGCTAATGCATGATCTCAATGAGGCGTAAAATCGTTGATTACCAGGATAAATATTTATTCATTAGGATAATGATAGACACACGGAGTGTGGCTTTTATTCCAGTGAGACTTCATTGACCCAATCGATGACATTTTGCTCAGCGATGTGTCAAATGAGATAACATTAGACCATAAAATATAATACTTGTATAAATTCAGCTACAAATATAATTATTACTTTTAAAATAAAAGCTAATTATTATATACTGTATTATTATTATACAAATTTTCTGACATCAAGTTTTTAAATATTAATTAATTTGTTTTTATAATAAATAAATTTCTAATAAGTATAGAAAATGTTTTCAATTAATATTTACTCTATTTTTTGAATAATTATTCTAAGAAATCATTCATAAAAAGTCTTGTATTATAATTACACTGAATTTGATTTAATCATAAAGATAAAACAGTTTTTGCTAATTGTTTTCATGTCAAATAGAAGTCATTAACTAGAGGTAAGAAAAATATACTTTAATACAGTAATGCGAAAATAAGAAAATCAATAATCATTTACAATAATAACTTATCATACATTTAGATATTAAATAAAAACGGATGAATAATCTTTCCTTTGAGTGAATCATTTTGAATAGAAATAGAAAATGAATTTCAAAAAATATTTTTGTTAACTGAATGTCTTTCATTTGACTATGAATTGAGATTATAACAAATCATTGAATATTATTCAGTATAAATAATATTCTAGCATATATTTTTACGATGAATTATTTTGAGCAATTTTTTATTTTTAATATTATTGATTATAAAAGTAGCAAATTGTGTGCATTTTTAGCATTCGTTATCGTCTACTCTATTGAATGTTTATGATAATAGTTTTTGAATATATTTGGTCAAATTATTCAAATTATATTTAAATATATTTGCAAAATAAATGCCAATCATTTTTTATGTTCGTTATTTTCACTCATTTAATTACAAGAAAACTTATAAGCAGTTTAACTTTGAATAGAAAAATAATAATTTTATATTTTTATGTAATTTACTGTAAATTACTAATTTTCTAATAAAATTATCTGAGAGAGAGAGAGAGAGAGAGAGAGAGAATACCAATGATCGCATAATTAAGGAATTCTTACAGTATTATGTGTANAAAATAATAATTTTATATTTTTATGTAATTTACTGTAAATTACTAATTTTCTAATAAAATTATCTGAGAGAGAGAGAGAGAGAGAGAGAGAGAATACCAATGATCGCATAATTAAGGAATTCTTACAGTATTATGTGTAATATGTTTGTTTCGATTAGCGACTGTTTGTGTAAACAACTTTAATAATTATAATGAATAAATAAAGATACAATCGGATCCTGGTATTGAAGAGCAAACATAGAGAAGCTCATTTTTATCACATATTCTTATTATTTACAATTTTAATTAATGAAAGATTTCATAGTAAATATAAAAATAAGGGTGAATAATATAAACATAATTTTGCATCATAAAGTTACGTATTAGTTATGACTTATAAATTACTTTTTTATTTTGTACAGTAATAACCTTTACATTTGATCAAAAGTTAGTTTATAAAAAGATTTTATAAGACTTATTTTGAATATGGTTAAAAATAAACTACAAGGTACAATAGAGTGGAAAATGTAATTTAAAATGAAGATGTTTCTAATTCTTAGAAAATATGTATTCAAAGATAAAAATGAAGCGGATTTTAAACTTAACCCACGGGTCGGTACATTTGAAGTTCAATTCATAAAATCAATATCTTATCTAAGATTAATATCTATTATATTATATAATCCTTGCACTTGACATACGACTAAAATAGCAATGTACTCATTCATTTAAGCACAATTATGTTTGCTTTAAATCCGGTACAATATTCTTTATATTTTCAAATAATTATTAACATATCTTGAAAATTATTATAAATTTCTTTTTACTATAAGTTCTTTAATAAGATTTATTTAAATATGTAATAAGTAAATAAATGATTTTTCAAAATTTATAACATAGAAATTTTTATTTAATTTACTTAAACAATATTTATATGTTTAATAAATTATTAAACGTATTGTAATTATTCTTTGTGTATAGTATTTATATCGTACAATGTTTTCCAATACACATTTATTTAATATAC